CCAACATGTCACAAGACTGCCTGAGCCTCAGCTTCCCTGTGCACACAAATGGGTACACGGGGCCAGCCCGGGACGGTCTGCTGGCTCGGGCCTCTGTCCCTGAGGACCCCGCCGGGAGCTGGGGGCTACATGGTCCCTCCACAGCCAGCATGCGGCGCGTCACCCCATTACAGGAGACGAAGTGGAGCTTAGCAGGAAGGGGCCCGAACTGGGGCTCCCCCCTCCAGCCACAAGGAAGGTGTGCCAGGGTTCCAGCCCCACAGCTCCCGCAGGCTGGTACCGGACAGCAGGAGGGTCAGGGTGGGAGAGCCTGGGCCCCATGCATGCGGCCCCAGTCCAGATGCAGGCATTCCCCCCCCCCCGGTCCCCTTCCCCATCCTTCCTTCCCACAGGGGTTTTCTCTCCTCCTCTCCACCCTCTCTTGGCCTCACTGGCTTCCCTCCCTCCTTTCTTGCGGGTCCCCACAGCTTCCTGCCATCTTCCTGGGGGGCCAGGAGCAGGCAGTGGACGGGGCCGTCCCACCTCCCACACTCAGCACCCATGGCACCTGGCCCTTGGGGCCTCCTTCCCTCCGCTGCTGGGGACAGCGTGGGACAGACGGCGTGGGGCAGAAAGCGTGAGAGAAATAGGGTGGGAAGGGACATCGTGGGATGGACAGTGTGGGAGGGGACAGTGTGGGAGGGACACTGTGGGAGGGGACAGTGTGGGAGGGGACACATGGGAGGGGACAGTGTGGGAGGGACAGTGTGGGAGGGGACACATGGGAGGGGACAGTGTGGGAGGGACAGTGTGGGAGGGGACACATGGGAGGGGACAGTGTGGGAGGGATAATGTGGGAGGGACCCTATGGGAGGGGCTGCTGAGTGTCCACAGCACCCGTTGCCCCCAGCACACCCTGATGTCCTGCCCTATCCCTTCTCTTTGTTGTTTTCACTCAACCTCTCCCTCCTCTTGGCCACCATCCTGTCCCATCCCATCCCCTTGTCCCATCCTGTCCTGTCTGCATCCTGTCCTGTTCCTGTTTCATCTTGTCCCTGCCCTCATCCCATTCCCAGTCCTGTCTGTATCTTGTCCAATTTCATCCCCATCCTATTCTTGTCCTCTCCCCCTCCTGTCCCCCTCCTGTCCCCTTCCTACCCCCACCTTACCCCCATTCCTGTCCTGCCTTGTCTTAACCCTGTCCAGTCCCCATCCCGTTTCTATCCAATTCCCATCCCTGTCCTGTCCCTGTCCTGTCCTGTCCTGTCTTGTCTTATCCCCGTCCTGTCCCCATTCCTGTCCCTGTCCTATCCCATCCTATCCATCCTGTCCCCATTTTGTCCCCATCACTGTCCCTGTCCTACCCCAACCCCATCCTGCCCTGTTCCTGTCCTGTCCCCATCCTGTCCCTGTCCCTGCCCTGTCCCCAGCCCTGTCCTATCCCAATCCCATCCTGCCCCGCCCCCGTCCTGTCCCAGTCTTATCCCCATCTCATCCTGCCCTGTCCCTGCCCTGTACCCATCCTGTGCCTGTCCCATCCCCTCCCCATCACTGCATGCCCTCTTTCTACCTTCACGGGGACCTCCCGCCCCACCCCTCCTCCGTCACTCTCTCACTTCTGTTCTCTCTTTTCATCTCCCCCTCCCCTCCATACCTGGTAGAACACACTTTGGGAGAGCCTCTCAGCCCACTGGGGACAAAACCCCTGGCCCCCCACCTCACCGCAAGGCCACCTCAGGACCTCTCCCTTCCCAGGTAGTCAGCATCCTTCCCAGCCGCACTCTTGCCTTCCGGGGTGGCCCGCGGTCTGATCCCACACTCCCTCTGCCCCGAGGGGCCACCGAGGGCTTCCCCCACACCCAGCTCCCACCTGTGCCCCTGACACCTGCGTGAGCTGGCCCCAGGCCACCCACCTGTGCTGAGCCACTCCGCGCTCCCCGAGCTGTTCCGGGGAGCCCTGCCCACTCCAGCCACCCCTCGGGGCCCGGGGGGCCACGTGCTGCCTTCTCGAGGCTCTGGCAGGGGCACGGGGAGGGGAGTGAGCCCTCAGGTGCCCAGTGCTCCCGGGCTGCCGCCTGCTCGCTGCCCTGTCCTGCTCTGCTGGCGGGACGGGACTGGAGCCTGAACCTCAGGGCTCTGGGCTCCGGCCCTGACGCCCTGCCCAGGGGGTTGGGCCACTCAGTCCTCGTGCCCCCGTGATGCCAGCTCGTCCGGGCTCCTGGGGCAGCTCCGGCCGACAGACCGCCTGGTCCCGGGGCAGCACCACCCACCAGACGCCCGGGCTCTGCCAGGGCCAGGGCCAGCCCCCCTCCCCTCTGTGGGGCCCTGGGTGGGCCCGAGGCAGCCACGCCCCTTTGGACACTGGTTTGGAGGCCTGGCTTCCCCCACCCCACCCCCCACCGCCTCCTCAGGCTGGCCCGTCCCTGGCCCTGCTGGCCACACTGGGGTCCCGGAGGCCTCCCAGACCTGGCTGCCCAGGGTGGGAGGCCGGGCACGAGGATTGCCGGGTGCCTATGGTGGACGTGTGCCCAGAGCAGTGGGCAGAGGGGGTTTGCCTCAGGGCTCCTCCAGCTCCCAAAGCCTCCTTGGGGGGGACCAGGAGCCCGAATGCCAAGAGAGACACCACCCGGCCAGCCCCTCTGGTCTGTGCCAGACAAAGTCCCCCTTCCCAAAGCCAGGCCCCCAGAGAGCCTTGGACCAGGCAGGCAGCCGGAGCCCAGGGGGCCTGTGGGACCACAAGCTGCCCCCTGCTCGTCCCGAACTCCGGCCTGGCCCAGGCTGAGCATCAGACGGCCAGGCGCAGTAGGAGGGGACAGAGGGACGGAGCCAGGTCTGGGGGCACAGCGGGAAGAGTCAGCCCGGCCGGCCACCTGAAGCCTCCTCCTGGGCAGTGACAGCCGACGGGGACCTGTGTGGCAGCCACAGGGATGGACCAAGCTGAGATGGGGACACAGGTGGGCACGGAGACAAGTGTCCCCGCCCAGGCCCATTTTTAATCTACTGAAACTGGACCCGGTTTGCCCCCACCCCCACCCCTGCTGACTTCCTGAGCCCATCACAGGGAGGGGCCTCACCCTGCACCCAGGCGGGACCCGGCAAAGGAGTAAGGCGATGCCTGGGGCACGGCTGACAGGACCCCCTCAGCCCCTGAGTGACCCTGGGGCAAGTCGCTAGCCTCTGTGAGCCTGGTGTTCTGCCTGTCCAACAGGGACCGGGGCCACCTGCCCGGGCTTCGGGAAGTGAAGCCCTTGGGAGGCAAGACAGGTGCGAACGTCAGTGAGGGGGCGGGAGTGCCACGAGCCGCCTGGGCCCTGGAGTCCACGGGCAGGAGCAGAACACCAGGCCCAGGGCTGGTCCGCGCCTGCGAGTGTTTCCGTGCAAGCTGAGTGACCTGCCCGCCGGGGCTGGACGCAGACCCCCCACTGCCATGCCTCGGGAGAGACTCTCCCTGCTCCCCACCCAGCCCCCAGCAGCAGGATGGTGCACGGAGCTCAGAGGGGCACGTCCTTCTGTCTCTGTTTTGCCTCTGCAGGTCCCCCAGGGGCTCGGGGCTCTCTCCCCAGGCTGCCCCCCGCCCTCAGCCGAGCTGGGGCTCCACGTTCGATGCCCCGTCGGTGCCTCCACTGCCCCCACGACTCTGCTTGGGAGCAGAGCCAAAGCCACTTGGACAGACATTTGTGACCCAGATTCTCCTGGGACGAGGACTGTGAGTGCAGCCCACCTGGGGACTCTTCCTGTCAATCCCCAGCAGACCATATGACTGCCCTCTTGGGCCTCAGTTTCCCCATTTGTTAAGTCGTGAGCCTCCGGTATTGACCCTAGGCACCTGTTAGTCCTCGGGCTTTCTGGAGAGGGACAGGAGCTGTATCCCCTGGGAGGACACATGCTGGCTGGGCAGGAAGAGCCTTGGCTGGGGGTCTCCTAACCAGTAGCACCAGGGCGGGCCTGGCCGAGCCAGGAAAGAACGGGGTAAAGCCCAGGAGCGGGGTCCGCCTCACGAGTGGACAGGGTGGGGATGCGGGGGCCACGGCCAGCAGGGGACTCCCCCAGACCCCGTAGCTGGTCCTGACTTGAATGGTGGCGCCTGGGCCATGCCTGGGTGGGGCCAGGAGAGCTGTCACTCAGCGTCTGAAGGACCCGACTGGCGGGAACTGGAGGGGTCTGGGGTGGCTCTCTGCCCACCTGCACGCCCTGTCTCTCCTCCCTCCCAGAGTCGAGGTGTGGGTGGAGCTGAGGAGGCTCAGAAGCCCGTGTCCCTCCCTCCAGGAGCCTGCGGTCTGCCCAGCATGCTCCTCGCCATTGGAGAAGCCAAAGCCGGCAGCATGGAGGAGGCAGCGTTTCAGCTGGGCCTTAGATGCCTGGAAGGGCAGAGGAGGAGGAAGAGCACTGCAGGCGGCTCAGAGTAAAGTGTCGAGCACCCCGTGGTATGGAGCGGTGGCTCCGGGCCCACCTCCGGCCCCTTGTTTTGGCTCTTTCTACCCCCCTTTGAGGTGGGTGACACCACGCCACCATTTTATAAAGGAGGACACTGAGACCGAGAGAGGACAGGGTCCTGGCCCGAAGCCTGAGACATAGGAGCCAGGACTCCAGCCCAGAGAAAATCAGGCTCCGAGGCCCAAGCACTCACCACAGCCCCGTGGCGCTTCCCACGCAGGGCTGGTGTGCTAAGGGGGGTGGTGAGTGCGGCCACACGGTCCGGCATCATCATCTGTAAAGGAAGGGTGACAGAACAGTCCCCAGGCGCCAGGGGAGCCTAGGCGAGGCCTTGGAAGCGTGCCAAGGACACCGTGCGCGTCCTGGGAGCAGCAGACCAGGCCCGAGGCCCCGGGGTCAGGGGAAGGCGTCTGGAAGGACAGCGGTCCTGCGCCGGCCAGGCGGGCACGCAGGTGGGGAAGAGCGCGGGCCGCGTGCACACACCCAGCACATGTGTGCACCCCTCACCCTGGCCTGGGTGCCCGGGCTCCTGGCCCTGAGGCCCGGCCCTGCCCGCCCTGCCCCAGCCTGGGCCGGGGGGCACCTACCTCACCAGCTTGTCCAGGCCCCATTTGCTGGAACTCCTCAGGAGGGCCGAGCCGCTCATGCTGCTGGCGGCCACCCGCGGGCCGGCGACCTGGCCTGACCCCAGCCCTGGGGACGCGGCAGCTCCTTCTTCAAAGGCCGAGAAGGCCGCCAGCCTCTGTCTGCCGCCCCCCCTGCCGCTCCCCCTGCTCCTCCTCCTGCCACTTGGACCCCTCCCGCCCCTCCTCTCTCCTTTCTTCCTCCTGTCCCCTCCTTCGCTCCCGTGTCCCCCTCCCCCGGTCCAAGCCGTCTCTCCGTCCGGCTGGCCGTCTGGGCTCTCTGATGTCCACACCCCCTCCCCGTCTGCGTGCCCTGTCTCCCCGTCGGTGGCCTGTGTCTGTCCACCCGGGGCCCTCTCGTCCTGGGGGTCCCCAGGGCTGACTCCCCGTTAGCCGCCCCGGGCTGCTGGGTGCCCGTCTGTCTGTCCCCGTCTGTGCGGCCTCACGGACTCTGTGGGTCTCTCCTTCAGGACGTTTAGCAGCTGCTTCCCTTTTGTTCCCCCCCAGCCCCCTTCTCCCCCCTCGGCCTCCTCCCCCTCCCCCTCCTTCCGAGACTAGTAAAAATGTCAGAGGAAAACCCTCCAGCCCAGCAGCCCCGGGGCTCAGCAGGACCTCAGCGGCCTGGGGTGGGCACTGTCCCCCTTTGGCCACCTTGGCGGCCGCTCAGGCCTCACTCTGCCGCCCGCCAGCTCATCCCCACCACTGGCAGGGCATCGGGGCGCCCCCCTTGGCCTCTCCATCCCTCTGTGCCTCTCCCCTCGCTCTGGGCCTGGCCTGGCCAACCCTTTGGCCCTCCTCTTGTCCTCGCCTTTATGGATCTTTTGGGTCAAGCCCCCCTGCCCTGCACCTCTCCCCTGCCCTACGAGCTCCCAGCCTGGGCCTTCTGCTCCTTCCCTGCCAGCCCCCAGCCCTCCCTGCTTCCACACTCAGACCCTGTCTCCTCTCCTCTCCCTCTGTCTCTCTCTGCCCCTATCTCTGTTCCCCTCCCTCCCCCTCTTTCCCTCCCCCTCCTTTCCTCTCCCCTCCCTTCCTCTTCTCCCTCTCTCCCCTCCCTCCCTCCCCCTCCCTCCCTCCCCTCCCTCTTGGTTCTCCAGTTTTCCCCTTGTTTATGCCCAGCTCTCTGCTCCACTTATCACCTCGAGGGGGAATCCTCTCTGCTCCCCAAATGGGGAGGTTACTGCCCCCCACTCCGGCACCCGCCACACTGCACTGGGAGGTCAGAGCAGGGAGACCCCAGAGGCAGGGACAAACACGGCCTGCCCCGGTTGGTAGCGGAGAGCATGCTCCCAGGGGGACCGGTGGGCACAAGGTCAGCACGGTGCCCTGGCCTGCGGGCCCCCTGCCCCTCATGCTCCGTCCAAGGCCCAGGAGGCCAAGCCCAGCCCACTGTTCCTCTGGTTGGGCTTAGTCGCCGTGACTCACTTGAGAAGGCTCACGGGCGAGTGACCGGACGAGGCGGGTACGGGACTCATGTCTGCGGGGCGTCACCGAGCCCAGCTCAGTGCCCAGTAGTCACGTCCAGCAGCGTGGCCCAGCTAGCTACCCACCCTCACAGCCGCTGTACCCAGGTCCTGCCTGGGGAAACCGAGGCTCAGACTAGTGTCCAAGTGTGCAGAGCTGGGGCCAGCAGAGCTAGAACCGTGAGCCGGTGGGCTGACCGCCCGCCCCCACTGCCCTCCATCCCCGGAGCACGGAGGAACGGGCCCTCTCACTTCCCCGGCTGGCCCGGCCTCAGCTGGGCCAGGGGGCCAGGGCCAAGAGCACCTGGGGGATGTGAGGCTGGATGGGGGTGCAGCTAAGATCAGACAGGCCAGCAGCGCACTTGCAAGCAAGTCACGGCAGCCACGTGGCCTGTAGCTCTGGTCCGTGGTGACCCAGGTGGTGGCTGGCTGGTGCAGACTTTGTGGGCGTCCTGAAGTCTGGCTCTGATTCGTCCCCCTGCCTCTACCCACACACACCAGGCTGTGTCCTATGATCAGCCCTGGAGGGGAGTTCACAGCTCTCTCCTCTCACAGTCCCCGGGGAGCCAGAGAATGTGGGGGTGTGCCCCAGAAGCAGCTGGGCCCACCATCCATCCCCAGCATCCACACAGAGCTACAGATGTGTCAAGGTTCTAGAGGAACGTGGAGAAGGGAAAGGTGAGTGGGGCCATGGGGTTGGCCCTCAGGTGGAGCCAGATCGCCCAAGGGAAGTGAGCCTGTGCCTCATTTCCATCGTAACATACGCATCTCCCCCTTGACTCCTGCTCTTGGTTCTGGAATCCCAGTCACAGACAGCCAGGAAGGAAATGTGCCAAGACATATTTTGGTTCAAAAGAAGGAAAAATATTCCCATGGGGAGAAGGCTGCCTTGGAATGGCAGGAGTTCTCTGTCACTAAGAACTTAAAATACAATTACTTGATTATCTATCAGAAATGCTGATGGGTGGGAGGTGGCAAAAACAGACCTTTAAATGCAGGGGCCAGCATCCATAGCTTCATAATTAGGGCATGCCCTACCAGGAGCAAAAGGTCAGGGTGTTTGTCACCAACTCTAATGTTACTCACTCATGCATATATCCATCAATCCATCTCCCACTCCTCCGTCATTCATTCATTCTATCATTCATCACCCATCCACCCACCCACCCATCCATCCATCCACTCACCCACCCACCCATCCATCCATCCTCCTATTTACCTATCCACTCATCTATCCAAGCACCAGTCAATCCACCCATCCATCCAGTCATCCATCCACATACCTATCCATCCATTATCCATCTATCATCTGTCTATTATCCATCCATCCACCCATTCATAATCCCTCCATCCATCCATCCACCCATCCACCCACCCATCTGTCCATTATCCATCTATCATCCATCCTTCCACTCACCCACTCACCCATCCATCCATCCATCCCCCTACCCATTATCCACCCATCCACCCATCCATCTAACCATCCATCCACATACCTATCCATCCATCATCCATCTATCACACATCTATCCATCCATCCATCCATCCATCCACCCATCTTTCCATCTGTCTACCCACCATCCATCCATTTACCCATTCATCATCCATCCATCCACCCATCCACACACCCATCTGTCCATTATCCATCTATCATTCATCCTTCCACTTACCCACCCACCCATCCATCCATCCATCCCCTCATCCATCCGTCCATTCAACTATCCATCCATCCTTCCCCTTACCCATTATCCACCCATCCACCCACTCACCTATCCATCCTCCATCCATCCACCCATCCATCCATCCATCCTCTTTATACAGTTATCTGTCTTCCCATGCATCATTATCAATCCATCAACTTCTCAGGATTTTAATCCATTCAATTATCCATATAAACACAGTATATCCTCCCATCAATCCATTCAAGTATTTTTCAATACATATATACCTATGTCTATTCATCTCTCCTTATGTCTCTTTATTGAGCAAGTATCCACCCATCTCTCCATCCACACACTCATTCATCCCTCCATCCATCCATCCACCCCCCACCCACCCATCCAGCCATTTATCTAAATGTTATAATACATATAAAACACCTAGAAGAAGTATTCAGATAGTCATCCATCCACTTGGAACATAAGAGCCCCTCAATATATGTTAATTACCATTAGGTACATATTCAGCCACCAATTTGTGTATCTATTTGACCAGCTACCCTACAAGTGAACTATCTGTTCATTCTTCAATATATTCTTTTATCTCTGCAGATATTTTTGTCCTTACTTTCATTCAGTTCTCCAGATATTTTACTATTGATCAATCTCATTTATACACCCACTCATATATCTATCTGACCAATATGTCCACCCATATTCCTATCTAGAAAGTCACACATATGTGTATAAATGCATACATCTTCATATTTCCATATACATATTGCCCATTACTCTGCCCATTAAGCCATCCAAATGAGTTAAAACTTACAATAGTGCTGCAACCTAGTAACCCTTCCATAGGGGATACTATTTTTATCCATACATTCACTCATCCATATCTCATCCAACCAACCATTGATTTATTCATAACTCCATTTATCTTCATGTTTGTTCATCTATCCATATGGTTTTCAACAGACTTATTGTATCCATTTTTTTAGGCACTGGGATTTGGCATTAACAAAGCCCATGTTCTCACAAGACTGGCATTTCAGAGGGAGCAACAACAAAAATAAACAGTAAGTATATTCTGTAATATATCCAATGGCAGTAAATACCATAGGAAATACAATTCATGGTGGGAGGACATGGAGGAGATTGATATTTTATATATGATACTCAAAGAAAACCTCATAGAAAGGAATAATCTTTTCCTTATTTGAAAAAAAGACTTGAGAAGGATTAGAGATGGCTATATATATTTGTGGGAGAAAGTGTTGTAAAGAGAGAACAGTGAGTGAAAAATTCCTGACTTAGGTGCTTCTGTTCACCAATCTATCTGTTTGGTAGTTTATCCAGCATCAACCATATGTCTACTTACACACTATCTATCTTTCCTTTCATCTCTCACTTCCCCAATATTTCCCAATCTGTCCATTTAAAAATCAATCCATTATCTGTCTCCACCCATATGTCTTGATAACATTCTATTAGTCTATCTGATCATTTATCTGTCAGCATTCCACCCATTTATCCATCAACCTACCTATACTTCCATTCCATGTGACCATTCACCAGTCCATCCACCCATCCATCCATCCACCCACCCATCCATCCATCCACCCACCCATCCATCCATCCACACATCCATCCATCCATCCACCCATGCATCCATCCACACACCCATCCATCCATCCACACATCCATCCATCCATCCACACC